CCCATGGTGAAGACCATGGTGAAGCAGGCTGTCCCCCTGCAGCCCATGGAGGGAGGATGAGGGTGTGGAGAGATGCCCCCTGCAGCCTGTGGAGGACCCCACACCAGAGCAGGTGGAGACACCTGAAGGACGCTGTGACCCCGTGGGAAGCCCACGCTGGAGCAAGCTCCTGGTAGGACCTGTGGCCCCGTGGAGAGAGGAGCCCAGGCTGGAGCAGGTTTGCTGGCAGGACTTGTGACTCCGTGGGGGATCCCATGCTGGAGCAGTTTGCTCCTGAAGGTCTGCACCCTATGCGAGAGACTTGGAGAAGTTCTCAAAGGGCTGTCTCCTGTGGAAAGGACTCCATGTTGGAGCAGGGGAACAATTAGAAGAGTCCTCCCCCTGAGGATGAAGAAGCGGCAGAAACACCGTGTGATGAACTGACCGTAACCCCCATCCCCCTGTGCCACTGCAGAGGGGAGGAGGTTTGAAGCTGGGAGTGAAGTTGAGCCTGGGAAGATGGGAGGGCGGGGAGGGAGGTGTTTTAAGATTTTATTTTCTTTCTCATTACTATGTTTTCCTTGGTAATAAATTAGATGAATTTCCTCTCTCAGTTCAGTCTGTTTTGCTCGTGACGATAATTAGTGAGTGATCTCTCCCTGTCCTTACCTCGACCCGCAAGCTTTTCGTTACACTTTTTTTTCCTCCCCTGACTAGTGAATGGGGGGAGTGATAGAGCGGCTCTGGTGGGCACCCGGCCTCCCGCCAGGGTCAACCCACCACTACAATACAAACAATCTGAAAGACTGGAAAAGAAAAATACTTCACAAAATTATGGTATTGTTTTGAACAATAAATGTTTCTTATTCAAGGCTTAAAATGTTTGTTAGCAAGGTGACAAAGATGATGCATTCATAAATCAGTTACAGAGGGCAAGATAAACTTACTTTAACTCCATGTCAGCTATGTATAATGTGGTTTTGATGACATTCAGATGCAAACAGTATGCCATTTAGTATAGTGAAGTGTAATAAACTGGAGTGAACAGAAAAATCTGAGAGACTGCATTTCAGAAGGTGCAGAATGCAACTTCTTTCAAGTGCAATACTTGGCAGCTGCATTTGTATTTATGTACTTTGCTTGGCCTGGGATTAACGTGATGTGCCTTTTTTTCTTTTTGTAGGCTAGCTTCTCTGAAAGACCAAATGACCCCTCATCTGACTTCAGTCCAAGCATGGGCTTATTCGGTATGTGAAAGGCACTTTTGATATTACTGGCATTTGGGGGAGTAATTTGAACAGGTTAGGAGATTAAAGAAACCCACAATATTATCATTGTGATATTTTCATGTGTCCCCCATGGAGTAAGCAGCATCAAATTATACAGCTAACATGACGAGTAGACTTTCCTTTTGACCCTCAACCCTTCTTTATTTACTGCAGTTACACGTTGAATACAGCACATAACTTCTAATTAGAGTTAGTAGGTGTTACAAGCATTTCTAAAACAGGCTGTGCTAAACATGATCAGTATTGAAAATAAATGTTAAATGCAGTGTTGACTAGTTCTAGCGAGGTCCTGTCTAACAGTTGTATTGAAAATAAGAAAAGGTCTGATGAAGCTGTCGAGCAGAAACTTAGATACATTAAAAAAAAAAAAAAGATCAAAAAACACAAGACAAAATATTGATATTTGGTATCAAGTTTCTGTAAAGCACTCTTGATTTAGTGAAGATGATGCCTTTATAAACTTGAACAGAAATTTTAGATACAGAAGTTGGAAGACATTGAGATACAGAAGACAGAAGTTTTAAATATGCCAAGTCAGGGTTGCTGCTGAACGTTGTTTGCCCTAGGGTTTACTTTGTGTGACTACAGTAGTCAGATCAGGAAACAGGTTTTGCTTAGAGCTGACAGTCTGTGGGGTAAGGCAATCGGAATGTTCTCACTGTAGTCTCTGAACTTAGGAATGGTCTTTAAGACTTCTTGAGGATATTTTAACTTTAGTAAAATTCAGTCTGAGGTAAAAATTTTGAGCTTGTATAATTTAATCAATCCAACTGTGGAATAACAACCTAAACTTTATTTTAACACGTTGTGGTTAGCACAAATTATGCTGATATCATAGAACAGCCCAGGTTGGAAGGGACCTTGAAAGATCATCTGGTCCAACCTTTTGTGGTAAAGGAAGCCTAGATGAGATTGTCTAGCACCCTGTCCAATACCGTCTTGAACATCTCCAGTAATGGGGACTCCACCATGTACCTGGGGAGGTTGTTCCAGTGAATGAGTGTTCTCACTGTAAAAAATTTCTCTCTTCTATCAAGCTGAAACCTTTGCCAGTGCAACTTGTACCTGTTGCCCTTTGCCTTCTCCATGTGGCTCTTTGTGAAGAGAGCCCCTTTCCTCTTTGTAGCTGCCCTTCAAGTACTGGGATACTGTGATGAGATCTTCCCTGGGCCTTTTGTTCTTCAGGGAGAAAATATCTAACTCCCTCCCATGTGTTTGTAACTGCACTTGTGTTTTTGAGCAGTTAGAACATGGCAGCAGGTTTATTGATGTATCTTTCCCTTGCCTTTTAGTGTACAGTTGAAAGGCAGACTGACTTTCTCCAATTCTTTGTCCCTAGGACATTGGGAAATTAGGAAGGGCAGGAACAAGATACCACTTGTGCTACTTGCATGCCTCTGAATTTGGACAGTTACAGGAGGTAGAAAATTTGGAGGACAGGCTTTGCATTCATCCTAGAACAGCATGAGGTCTCCAGGTTGCTAACTTTGGTAATGGTTTGATGCAGAGCAAATAGGAAAGGCAGTGCTTGTGAGAACTTGAATTGCAATTCAGGTGGAAATGAGTCTTGGAGCTTCCTGTTTTGTTTGTTCCAACTCTTTCTGACTAGCTGTCAGAAGTAGGTGAATGATAATTGTGAAAGTTGCTGTACTTTTACGAATCTTAATTGGTTGGTTAGCAAGTAACAGTGCAGCGTACATTTGATTTGTTGTAAGTGCTAAGCATAGCAGACTTAACTGAAGAATGATTATTGGTTCTATCCTGTTCACTGTCTATATATCTGTGGGTTTGTCCAGCATCTTTCATTAGTAGAGGTAGTAAACACTGAGGGCAGCATGGTGAGCGAATTCATTAAAACAGATGCTTTCCTGATCAAGTATTTTGTTGGGATATGATGTGCTTTCCAAAAACTTTGAATGTTGAATTAACTTAGTGTGCTTAAGTTGTGGAAATACCAGTGGAAGAGGAGTGATAGAATAAGAATAGGTTAGGATGGCAAGTAAAGGGAAGAGTCCTCACCCCTTTAAAAGCAAATAGACATGGTCAATGGAAGCCAATCAATTGTGGTAAACCCTAAAAATATAAATTTAAATAATTGATAAGGTGTTTTTATTTGCTGCTTGTTACATATAAACAAACATGAATATCAGAATATCCTATACTGGCTTTGCCAAAAACTACTCAAATCTTCCAAGTGAGCAGGAACTCTGAACACTGTTCAGGAAGCAGCAGTCTAACACTTTGAGTAGTGTTGTATGAGCAAAGTTTCCTTATCAAGTGACTTGATAATGTACCAAACGTCATTCATCTTTTTTTTTTTTTTTTTCCTTTATGACAAGCTCTTGTATACAGGTGATCTGTTCTTTAATGTGTTTTGTTGTGGAATGTACTAGTGCCTAGTTTTTTTCAGGGGCAGCTATGTTGTTATGTTAAGCAGTTTTAACTTGGAAGGAAAACAGTAACAATCAGTTTGTGATGTGCCATATATTTGCAAATCATGGAATTTTGTAGACTTTGTTTTGATTTCAGATTTCATATCTTTATGATGGTTGCTGATGTACCATCATCTTGACTTTGTTGCAGAATAGGGGATTTCGGTTTTATACAATGACTCAGGTTGGAAGACTACAGTGGTCCAAATCCTTGTGTAGAATGGGGTTAACTGAGCAGGTTGCTTAGGACCTTGTCCAGCTGAGTTTTGAATTTCTCCAGGGTTGGAGATTATACAAGCTAGCTCTCTGGGCAATTGGGCTAGTGCTTAACCACCCTCAGAGTAAAATGATTTTCCTTATATAAAAATGGAATTTACTGTATTTCAGTTTGTGCCCACTGCTTCTCATCGTCTGTCTTGGTTTAGCCCCAGCCAGCACCTAAGCACTCCTCGCAAGCTAGCGAGGCTGTTTGCTCACTCCTCGCAATCCCTCCAGCTGCCCTGCAATGGGATGGGGAGGAGAATTGGAGGAAAAAGGTAAAACTTGTGGGTTGGGATAAGAACAGTTTTCTAGGACAGCAAAGGAAGAGGAAAATAACAATGACTTAGAAATACTTAGAAAAGAGTATACAGAGCAGGTGATACACAGTGCAATTTGCTCACTGCCTGGAGCTGATGCCCAGCCCGTCCCTGAGGAATGACCCCTCCTGCCTTGCTGGCCCCCTTATATACTGAGCATGACATCATATGGTATGGAATACCCCTGTGGCTGGTTTGGGTCCATTGGATGTACTTTATTGGTTTGTACATGAGGATGAGAGACAGCGTCAAAAGTCTTACTTTATTGTTATTTTCCTTTTCCAGGTGCTGCTGAAAGACCTAACACAAGTCAGCATAGGCAGAATCATTTTGGAGGGTTTTCTAGGAGTAGAGGTAGGATGCATGGTTAAAATTTGTAGTTTTGGGGGTGATTAAGCTTTTCTTTTGGACAAAATTTAGAATGGAGGACCTTGCAACTGGTGTCAGAGTAGATTCTGCAAACTCAGATATTACTATGTTGGTAGCAGTACTGTTGCTGAGTGGTCCTATTCGTTATGGAATACAATAGTTACACCTGTCCTAAGCTTTGTAAGTTTAATTAATTTTCTTTGTCTTATAAAAGGACACCTTCGCCACATGGTGGGTTTTTTTGAGTGGGAGGAGGCTGCAGACCTGAGATCCCTTTCAGCCTGAATGATTCTGTAATTTTACTGTTGAGTTTTAAAAAACCCAAACTGAAACAACAAACCCACCCCCTCACCCCACCCGCAAACCAAAAGCCTACTCTGAAGGTAGCTTTGAAAGTTAAGTTGATTCTTTTTTTTCTAATTATAGATACTGATGAATGTATGAACAGACAGTGTCAACCAGTGAGTAGATTTGGTAGTGGAAGGAATTTTGCGAACAGAGGTAACTTTCTGGAGTGTCTGTAATTCTAGTGATTAGTTATATTTGATACATTAAATTTTCCCTATTCAGGTACTCAGTTTTGTTGTGTCAGAGCCAAATGAGTTCTTATGACTTGGAGGATAATACCAATCCTTATTTCTGCATAATGTAGGCAGTCAGTATTATCCCTTAGTTTTGACTGCACAACATAAAATATCCTGTTGTATTTGCCAGAAGGCAGGACTTTGCATTTAAAATAATTTTTTTTTTTTGTTCACCTCTTGCTTTGATTCCATTCTCCCTGGAGAGGGGTATTTTTCTGATAATTTTGTTGAGTCCTAATATAGTATAAAAGGCAGCTGAATGTATTCACATATATGCCATGTGAGGGAGTATACCAGTGGTATTCTGTGGAAGACCTGAAAACTTTCTTTAGTACCATAAAGCAGTATTGAATTGCTGTCCTCTTCCTGCTTATAATGGTGAGTGCCACTCTTGTATGCAGTGCACATTGGAGAGGTTAGTAATTGGCAGTACTGCTGCATATACTTCCACCAGGTGCTTTCAGAAGCATAGTGGGCAGTGGAAGCTACTGTCACATACTATCTGTCTAGATAGTTCTATGACTGTAATTGGGACTGGTTATGAAAAGGAAAGATGGAAACTGTAGTCCTGGTTTGGGCACGTTAAAAGTTCTGACCTGCAGAACAGCTGTGGAGCCACTTGAAGTTGTTACGTTTATTCTTTAAAAAAAATTCACACCATTTCTGTATCTCTTGGAGTGATGTCTATTGATGCCATGGTAGGGGAATGCTAGACTTGTTTGGTTAAGCAGGCAGCAACACTTTAGTAGTGCTGTGGAATGACGATGGACAGTTCTGCTGTAGTCTCTGGCAATTGCAAAGTAACTCACAAGGTGTATTTAAGGTCTGTACTAGTTATGGGTGTTTATCTAGACTGTTTTTTGCATGTGAGCTTTTAAGATGTGATTTTTTTTCTTTTTAATTTGAAAAAAAATTACGTGTAAATTGCTATGCATTCAGCGTTGGTGGAGAAGGAGCTACAGATGCTGTGGTTGAAGAACTTCTAGGTTTCATTTAGAAGGTGATGCTGTTCGTCATTACAAGATGATAGAACAGGTGTTCAGTTGAAGAGTAAAGACTAAGGAGTAAATGTCAATATAAGTTGACTGCTGGGATCTTAGACAACACCTAAAACTGCCCAATCTAAAATGGGAAATACCTTGTTTATGCATGTGGCTGTTTACTTCCCCTCCCTCCCCATCAGAAGAGTGACTAGGGAAAGGGGTTAGAAATAAATACACTAAATACGTGGCACTGCCTGTCCCAAGCAACTGAATAAGCAATTCTAAGTAATAAAAAAAAACAGAAACTGATTGATCTGAAGGCAGGTTTTCAAATCCTCGTTCCACAGGACAGAACAATTGCAATACTATCTCACTGTACTGGTTATGAAAACTGAGAAGGTACAAATGCTGTCAGTTGTCCTGCGACTGAACCAGGGGACTGAATTGATCTGCATCATAACCAAAGAGTTGAAAGTTGGAAGCTTTTATAGCATGTATAAGTGTAGTGTCAAATACTTCAAGACTTAATATTTGACTTAGTTCTTGCAGGAAGCAGTAACACAGGAGAGCTTCTTGTCATACTTTTTGGCAAAAAATATTTCTTCTCTTCATTATTTCATATGTTTAGGCCAATTACTTAGTTTTATTGTATTTTTTATCTGAATTTATAAAATAAGGACTGCGAAGAGTAATTGCCAAATGAAAGGCACTTGATCTACACGTTGAAAATTGGGCAAACTAAGCTCTGTGCTGTGCTGTACTGCAGGTTTTCAAGAAAAGAAAGTTGTAGAAGATTCTAGTACACAAAATAGAGGTTTTAAAGAATTTCCTGGTGGCTTTGGACGAAGTGAGAGTAAGTTTTTTTTTTTTATATTGACTGGTTTGTGTGGGAACAACATATATTTGATCATTCTTCCTGGGTTTGCTTGCTCCTGGAGAACTACAAGTACAAAGGTGAAAGTTCTGAAATAGCTTCTGTTATTCAGCCATGTTGTGAAACATGAATGGTGCCTTTGAGAAATAGTATCACTGGGAATAATACAACATAGGCTGGAGTTACAAAGGATCTTTTGGGGCTGTTGCACTGGAGAGATAGAGTAAATAGTATTAGCTTTAAGCATAGTATTTCATTATACTAATTTTAGACACAATATCCACTACACTGTATTACTTACAGGTATTAAAGATGAGCAAAGAGACAGACCTCAGTCTGGCATTTTTCTTGGCTCTAGAGGAAGAGGAGCATTTGGAGGTTGTGCAGGTGAGACTTTTTAGTAGGGTGGTGAACCTTTCAGATTTCCTCATTGCTGATTTGTGACAATGCAATACCTTCTTAGCTTTGCTAAATGTTGTCACTGTGATTGCTTTCCCTGTCTGAATTAAGAACCTACTGCAAATGTTAGATAGCTTGCACGCCCAGACAAGACATGTTTGTAACTTGGATGTATTTTAGTAATTGGATTTTCAAAGCTGTTGTCTTCCATATTTTTTTTTTCTTGGTCCCGCTGCTGCTGGGTCAATTAGTGCACAGTGAAGCAGAGGTGCTAACCCCAAAATTCAAAGCAAGCCTTTGAGAACTTGCTCAGTTTTGAAGTAGTCACTCTAGACTTTTTCACCACCCCACCCCCAATAAAGGGAAGTACTGTTTTAGGTTGTCCAGGCTGACAGGTAAGGTTTGTAGCTCTGAGAGGCCAGGTCTTCCTTATGACTTTACTCTAATGTTGTTTTGGGGTTTTTTTTTGCTGTCTCCAAAGGATCTTTCCCTCATGGTCCTACCTTCCTTTGCCATCAATGCTACTGTAACTTGTAACCTATGTTTTGTGCTACCTAGAGCGTAGTAATCTATGACTCACAAAAGTTTCATAATTCAAATTAGAAATACCATTAAACTAGTGTAATGGGTAGTGGATGGCTGATACTATCAGTTTTGTATGATACTGGGAAAAGAATTTTTCACTGTAGAAAATATACAAGGATTCGTATGTGTTTTCAGAAGTGCTCCTTAATATCCAAAGAACAATTAATTTGCCTCTATCTGACATAGTTTAAACTAAGATTTTCAGATTTTTCGTTCAAGTAATGGCTTCCGGAAGCTTAAGTGTTTATAGAGGCAACATGCTAATACTCATAGGGGACATAACTGTATTCTTAACACAGAATAGTCATTCATTTTTTCATGACCATTGTACAAAACATTAGTAAGTAAAGACTTATGGATATTGGTAGGCAACAGTTGCACTAGTCTGTATAGAGCTTCATGTGGAGAGTTAATTCTTCATAAAGAGCGATTTGTTGCATGGGAAGTATGTGCTTTTATAGTAAGACAATGTGTCTGAGTCTAGTGAAGGAACAGGGTAAACCCTGCTAGGCTGTTTCGCCGCTTCTATCTCAGTAGCGGTCACATCACTCTTGTTAAGAGTTTGTAGAGGTAATGAAGTTTGAGCTGTGCTGGCTTTTCTTAAAACGGCTATGCTTTTTGCAATTAGACATACTGTGTAAGCATATTGTATCTTCTGATGGAAAAATGAGTGTTTAAAAGCAAATACACACTGTATATTGCTTCTTTGCTTGGATTCTCTGTCACCATCTCAATGAAGCTATGGTTTTGCGGAGTTGCTTAAGACTATTGCTACTGAACAGAGCATTCCTGATCCATGTCACAGTGCTGGCTGCCTCTTTAGAACTGGTATTTATGTTTTGAGTTAATAATACGGTTTCGTTGAGAATGAGCAATCAGATTAACATGTTGCCCCAATGCTATTATTTTGTGCTTGCACTGCTGCAGTGAGGAAGAATGTAGATGAGGGAGAGTGAGGGAGATATTGCAGGATCACTGTGCTTCTGTGGTACCAGTCTTAAATTGTCAGTCTCACAGTATGATTTTTATGAATGGTCTGAGCCGTGCATTTGAGTAGAGAACCTAGTAACAGCTTTTGTTGTCATCTTTCCTCTTCACTCAGTCTTATATCCTTTATCTACATCTCTAGCCTCCTTTCTTTTCCAGAGAGACCTTATATTGAAGGACCTTTTTTACCCTTCTTTGAAATCAGCAACACAACATCCTGCACAGAGTAGCTAGAGGCTACCAGTTAGGTTTAAGACTGTTTCTATTTTGTGTATGGTAAGAGTAAGGACTTAAAATGGATTCTGGAAACACTGCTGTTAATAGCTTAGTCTTAATACAGTTTTTACGTATGTAAAACATGTGGTACTTCCTCACTCTTAAGAAAAATGGCGTTGTTTTTCAAGTGATAATGAGAGCAATACACACAATACGTGGATGTTAAGGTCAGAACTTTCATGAAGTGGACGTTATAAATGTATGGCTGTTGAAATAACAGGATAATTTTCTCTTCTGATTAAAATTGTCTTCTAACTCTTGAAAAATCACTGTGATGACACAGAAGTTCATGGCAATGGCTCTTTAGTTATTTAGTAGTTGGTTATATAGCGTAGAACAGGTATCTGGATTTTGTGGAAAGGTTGAATGATTCTTAAAACCAAGATGCTGTAACTGTAAACAGTATGAATTTCTCATTAGTCACAATATTTTGTTCATGTGTTTTTAGGGGAAAAACCTCACTTAAGGGGTAACAAAACAAAGTTATAAAACTGACATTTCTTTAGCATTTTAATTTCTTGTTACAGGTGTTTTTTTTGCTCATTATTCACTTAAGATGAATCTGGACAACAGTATCTGCCTTTGTAAAGCATATGCTGGATTTAGGAGGGATCATTCCATCTTTAAAGATACAATTTGCTTTATCTAGACATCTTGTGATGGTTATTTCATGATCTGGGATGATTGCAATTGATTTGATGATAGGGGACTTACGACAAGTCAAGTGAGGATCAGATCTGGTTTGTGAAGTCCCTCAGCAAGATGCTGTGTTTAATTCCTTTGCAAGGTTGTGCTAAGCTCAGTGTTCTGACATCCTCTTTTTTTCCCTTTAAAAGGCAAATATGGAGCCTTTGTCTTGTGGCTTTTTGTAACTAAGCTTTCATTGTTTACCTAAATATTTCTACGCATTCTACCAACCATATCAGGACCCACTGCTGAATTTTCTAAGTGCCTCTAGGAATTTTTCATTAAGGTTCTTGTTTAGATTTTCTCTCAGTTGAGCCTTTTTAACTTTGGAATGCTTTCTTTAACAGAAGTTTACAAAGAATGCAATGAAGAAATAGGTTCTGAAAGAGGTAAGTAGGTTCTTCACAATTAACATGCCAGTTTTAATTGGCTGTTATCTCAAGGACCATTCTCTTTTTTAAAGTTGCTGGAAGTAATTGGGTAAAAAAAGGAGTAATTGCATAACCATCTAAAAACTGTTCATATAACAGAGGTGGCCATGCAAATACTGTTAAACTCAGTATGTTTAAAACTTGTTCGTCTTTAAATTACCTGGCAACACTGTGATTGTTCTCACCTAAATAAAGGCTAACTTTTTTGAATGGACTGGTGTAGAATTCCTCTGTTGCTGGCTATTTCTTTTTAATGGTAAAGCTTACCTACTTGAGACAGGAGTTAAGAGAACTTAATTGGCAATAGTGTAGGCATCTGAGTGATTATATTCATTAAAAGAAGCCATGAAGGAACAGTAGATTCTCAGTTTCAGATGCTACAGCATCTGCATGCTATTTCTGGAAAATGGGCTTGATGTGTTTCACTGAGTGCAAGTCAGTAAATATAATTTCATGATTTGTATGTGCAAGAGACGAGGCTGAAATGTATGATGAACAATGACTTTCTGACATATATTGAAAGTGTCAGTTGGGACAGTCTTTCAGAGTGTTTACTTACGTGCAGTGTTTTTTGCATATTACTTTAGCCTTATTTTGACTTTCTTTTATTCTTGAAATACAAAAAGACAAATAATGAACTCCGACTTTGGTATGAGTAATTTTGGTTCCTGATCCTTCCTCATGTGAGGTCCCTGTGAAATGGCTTCTGCTGCTAACATTTTGCTGAGCATCAAATAATTAATTTTATATCTCTGAGTTTTATGAGTTTGAAAAATACCTCAAGGAATACAGAACTATAAACATACTGCCATAAACAGATCAATTTTTTCATAAGAGCATTGTTGTTGAATAGAATAATTTATAGTGTAAAGAGTTTTTGTGGTAGAATTGGTTTTTGCCTGGTGGTGAAGTTAGAGCCTAATTTAATTTTTGTGAGGAGCTCTTCAAAATAAGGTCCTTGAGCAAATGTGAGACGAGAATGCTTTACAAAAGTCTGACTTTGTTTGTAAGTGAGTTCTAGGTCTAGTAGTATAAAACTAAGTTCTAACAGAATTCACTTAGGAAATTTCTTGCCTTCCTGGAAAGTTGAGAGAAGTCTAAAAGATGTCCCACTGAACTTAACTTAAATAGCTCCATAATTAAAATAGTTTTAGTTTAAGTTTGCTTTATATTATTCATGAACTTGAGTGGTTGTATTCTGAAGGTCCGAAGGTGACTTACGTGCCCCCTCCTCCACCTGATGATGAGCAAGCCATCTTCGCACGTTATCAGACAGGAATTAATTTTGACAAGTATGATGAAAATGTTGTCGAAGTGTCAGGACTTGACCCTCCAGCACCATTACTGGTTAGTGAACTCATTAATCTCAGGGTTTATGTTGAGCATGATCCTGCAAGGATGTATTCTGAGTCTAGTATTGACTGCTAATGAAAATATTAATCATAGAATGGTTTGGATTGGAAAAGACCTCAAAGATCATGTAGTTCCAACCACTCTGCCACGGGCAGGGACACCCTCACTAGATCATGTTGCCCAAAGCCCCATCCAACCTGGCCTTGAACACTTCCAGAGATGGGGCCTCCACAACCTCTCTGGGCAACCCGTTCCAGTGCCTCACAATAAATAAAGCTTTTGAGTCTTGCAGACAATACTACATTGGAAGGAGATGCTGCCCCCTTGAAAGATAGAAATTGAATTCCAAATTACATTGGCAAACTACAGAAGGGGCCCAGAGAAAGTAATACTGGATGGATGGGAAGTATTGTCCTTAAATTGCAGAAAAATACCAGTTTAGATCTTGAAAGACCTTTGGCAGCAGTTTCTGGGAAGGCTGGTAGAGTCATCTTGTTGAATCTTGTTACTGGGAGATCTTTAACAGTGTAAATGAACACCTGTTTTCGTTTGGCCAGAGAGGTGTTTTTGAAATAACTTCTAGCCATGTTTTCTGTGGCTGCAGTTTATTGTTTAATATATAACTTTGCTTCTATTCCATTCCAGGTGGCTAGTATTTTTTTTTTTTTTAAAAGCACTTCTTAGGGAGAAGAATGGCGAAGAAGGGTGGAGGGTGTAGTAGCAGCCATGTTGAAGTGAAGATGCAGAGGTTTTTTTCCCCCATCCATCTTCTGAAAGGTTTTCTCACTGAAGTTAAATTGATTTTGTTATCTGTGATGCTTTTTGGTCCTGAATAGGGATATTGCTTTAGCTCCTCTTACTAGTTTTAGCGCAGAGACTCTGTATTTCACATATGAAATGAAACTGAGGAGTTTTAGTTTCTTTTCATAGCATGCCATGATGTGAGTTTACCTCCTTGTATCCAGATGTATGGCTTCTGAGCAGTTTTCTCTCAAAGCTAGTAAGAGCAGCTGAAGCCTTCACTGTCCTACAAACTACTTGAATGGCATGAGCAAGTTGAAGAAACTTTTGGGGCTTTTACCTTTAGGAACCGTGGCAATCTAGATGACTGGTGAGACTCCCTCAAAACTTAATACTTTTTAGTGTTTGGATGTCTGTATCCTGTGGTAAGCATCTTAGTTTTTAAACTTTCAACTTCTATGATTGTGTATTGTTAATCTTTTACTCTTACAGGCTTTTGAAGAAGCTAACCTCTCTCAGACTTTAAACATGAATATTGCTAAAGCTGGATACTCGAAACTTACTCCAGTGCAGAAGTACAGCATTCCTATTATACTGGCAGGACGGGATTTAATGGCATGTGCCCAGACAGGATCAGGAAAAACTGTAAGTATTTTGTGTAGTATTCATACTGCTGGAAGTGTGTGACCTTGAACTTTGAGGAAATTGACGTTACACTAGATGCTTCACGTCTTGTTGTCTAATGATTTGATATGCACTGCAATGACAGGTGTACTATTAAGCACAGATATGAATGATGGATAGGTTGTTGCATTTTTGGGCTTAATTTCTTTTTAATTTCAGTGAACTAGTGTCTTAAAACAGCGTCTTCAGGGTTCCAGATACAGGTTCAGAAGTATGGGCAGTCATAGAAACTGCTGATGAGAGAAAAAAACCTCAGTGGTTGAAAGCTGGTGTTTCCCTCTGTGTTGTGTGGGTGTTTGTGTTGGTGATTCTGCCCCTCTGCTCTCATGAGACCCCCACCTGGAGTACTGCATCCAGCTCTGGGGTCCCCAGCACAGGAAAGACATGGAGCTGTTGGAGCCACAAAGATGATGAGAGGGCTGGAGCACCTCCGCTATGAGGACAGGCTGAGAGTGTTGGGGTTGTTCAGTCTGGACAAGACAAGGCTCCGGGGAGATCTGATTGCAGCCTTCCATTACCTAAAGGGGCCTGTAGGAAAGCTGGAGAGGGACTGTTTACAAGGGCATGGAGTAATAGGACAAGGAGTAACAGCCTTAAGCTGAAGCAGGGCAGATTTAGATTAGATATTAGGAAGAAATTCTTTACAGTGAGGGTGGTGGGGCACTGGAACAGGTTGCCCAGAGAGGTTGTGGAGGCCCCATCCCTGGAAGTGTTCAAGGCCAGGTTGGATGAGGCTTTGGGCAACGTGGTCTAGTGGAGGGTGTCCCTGCCCATGGCAGGGGGGTTGGAACTAGATGATCTTTAAGGTCCCTTCCAACCCTAACCATTCTATGATTTGGATATTAAGTATAGCTTTTTGCTGTTAAGGATAGTGTGGAATTCTAGCTGTGTTTTGTGGCTTATTAGTTACTTGTTTTGAAAACACTCTTCTGTTTGCAGAGGGGGAAATGTCCAAAGCTTATGCTACAAATATTCAGAATGCTTTTGAGACTGCTGTACAGATTCTGTTTTGAGGGTAACTAGTCTTACATGGAAGTAAGAGTTCTGGTACAGCAGTGTTGCAAACTGATCTGTTCTGCTAGTTTGGAGAATGGTGATACATGGTTACCATACAAATTACTAATGATAATGTAAAGCTTGTAAGTAAATGTTAAGGAGAGTTTTTGATCCTGGGGTACATAATTATCAATGTATGTCAGCATGATGTGTGGAACTGCCTGAAGAACCCGGAATTTAGCTAGTCCGTGACTATGTTCCTGCATTATTAGACTCTTAAAGTCCAAGGAGATACTTTCATGCTTCTTAAACAAGGAGAAATAAGCTTAAATCTTCTGTAGTGCATTCAAGGTAATCCTTTTGCAGTCTGATTTCCTTGAAGTTGATACTGCGCTGTATCATTCTAGCATTAAGATTGGTATGCAGCTTTTACTGTGATTGATGAAAGCTTTAAGGATAAACAACGTAAATACTGATGCTTTTTTTTTTTAAGGCAGCCTTTCTTCTACCAATTGTGGCCCACATGATGAGAGATGGCGTAACTGCCAGTAGCTTTAAAGAGCAGCAGGAACCAGAATGTATTATTGTTGCCCCAACTAGAGAACTGATAAATCAGATCTTCCTAGAAGCGAGGAAATTTGTGTATGGGTAAGCTTTTACACTGTTGCCTGGTATTGATTATTACTTTGTCTGAATCAGTAGTGCTTAATGTTTTTCATGAATACTTTCAAAAAATTTTCTGTGCCAATCGAATGACTAAAACCACTTGAATTTAGATGGTAATACTAGCTAGCAGGTTTATAACTATATGACTAGGGATTTAAACTCCTAATCTTCCTGATGTAGGTGGGAGTGGAGGGAAGAAGCTTACTGTAGCTTGAAGAGAAGATAAGTACTAAACTTTTGTCACATCATGTATACGGATGAGAAAAATAGAATTTCTTAAATGAAGTAACTTAAATTTAGCTTGCTTTACGTGATTTGTACTTGCTTTTATTTTCCTCTTGACAAAAATAGAAGTATATGTTAGGGAATTTTAGTTAACTTCCAGTGATAACTTCTAATAACCTTGTACTTCCAAGTGTTTCTGGTCTTGGACAGAAATTTCACGGCTCAAGCAAGCTCTTGTCACTCCTTCTTCAAAACAGAACAAAAGGTCTAAATTTGTCATTCAGCCCTTGGATATTGCATGAGAGTACATTTGTACTAGTTTGCCAGTGATCTTTCTTCTGCTAAGTGGTAGGTTTCACCAGTGCACAGGAAGAGAATTAAACCTATTGTCTGTAATGGCTTGTTAGTATTAGGAGGTGGAATGAAGAACATCATCAGTGCAAAATCTGGTGGGCTAAACTAGACTTGTTTTTGCTTATTGGAGCGAACTTGCGCTTGGAGGCTGTCTCTGCCTTTGGGAAGTACCATCATATTTGCATCTCTGCTTACTAAGCGTGTTCTTAATCTCTAAAACTGTTCTAATTGTGTAGCTAGTTCAATTAATTATACTATTTTAAACTAGGTACAGATAACTTAACAATAAAATATCTTTGGGATTTAAAAAGTTTCTGTTACAGCTACCCTGCAGTAAAAGCAATATAACCTACGTTTGCAGGGCAGTTAAGAATATCATGGTGTGAATCTGTTGCATCTAAAGAATTGCATTCATATTGCTCAGTTCAGATTCATGATATTCTTAAGTTTATTGCTTTAGTTCACAAATAGGAATATGAAATATGTGTATTAATTGATAGTGGATAAGTGTTGAAATGTGGTAAGTCCCACCTGTTTCTATTCTTGACTAAAGCTTTCTGAAAAGTTCCAGTTAAACCTGGTAAAAATTTACCAGGTTTGTCTGATTCATTGTTGTTGCATATGAAGCTGAATTAGTATCTTCAAGAATAGACAGTTTGAATTTGAATATGAAGATATTGATTGCATGCATGTAAAAGCCTTAGCAGGAGGTTATAAAGATACGCTTGTAAACTTGCTCTTCAGCTGCCTAAGGTAGTTCTTGCCTGTGGAGGTGGTTTTCTACAGGAGATCTGACATAGTTCTGCTTGGTAGATCTAACCAAAAACCTTAGTAGGAAGAACACTAAGTAGTTCAGTGTTTTAATGGGTTTGCAGTCTAATGCTTGAGTGGCACACTGCATGGCCAGTGTTACTAGTTGCTTTACAAAGATTCACCTGTGTGTCTTTTTTTTTTTTTTACTGTCCTTTTGAGGTGTGGAAAGATAACTTCTGAAGCTCTAAGGGCATTTATTTGGTTGTTCTGCTTTTTCTAACTGTGTGCTGTAATAGGGGACAATGTCTAATGCGATTTCAGTAACTCTCAGTTGAAGGAAGAGGGAAGAATGCAGGTGAAATGAAGTGTTCTTTCCAAATTAGCCACCTGTGCAGCTTCTCTTATGTAGTATGAATGGGAACTTTGAGCTTACAGTGAGTTTCTGGTCTTGGGTCCTGCTTTTGCTTGTAAGTTGTACTGTATGGTGGAGGAATTGAACCACTCTAAGCTGGTTTATGGTAGATCTGATGATTTTTAATGTATTTTCATGAAACAATACTATTTGCTTACTTACATAATTAATCCAATTTTTTTCTAAATAATAGAACTTGTATAAGGCCTGTTGTGATTTATGGAGGTACACAAACAGGCCATTCAATTCGTCAGGTAATGCAAGGCTGTAATATACTCTGTGCCACTCCAGGAAGGCTTCTAGACATCATTGGAAGAGAGAAGGTAAGGTCTTAAAACTTAATCTGAATTCCCTAAACACCCTTAGCTTTACATGCTGGTTTTCATTCTTCAGATTCAATAGAAATAAAGATAAAAGCCATGAAAACTAGTCAGTATGCTGCCTTTGTACAGGCACTTAAAACACAAATGAGTTTTTTTGGGGAATATCTAAATAACATGAGGTTTTTGAAAGAGTAGTGTGAGTCCAGATGTCTTTGGTCCGTTTCAGCACCCATTGGAAAATATCAGTCTAAATCAAACTGGCTGCATTGTTCTTGGCAATTAAATTTTATAGTTTAAATATATGCAACACCCTCTCTTGGTTCTTGTGGAAAATTCCATACCAGATTTTCACTTGATGTCGTGTTTGTTTTGCTGTAATAGCTTTTATTTGTCTTGAACTTTGCTAATATTAATTCTTGGAATCTTTTAATACTGATTAAATTCAAAATATAAAAAACTCCAGATGTAATATTGTATTTGAATTTTTATTTTTCCAGCCATTATAAATTCAAATTGAAATTGCTACATATTATAATGGTGCCTCAGTGATGTTGCACTGGACAAATGGAGTTTGGAAAAACACTTCTTGGTAATAAACTGGAGATTAGTTTTCTGTGGTTGTCAAGCTTGTAGTCACAATGATAGTCTTGGTCAGCAATGGTGAAGTTGTAATGTCCTTAATAATGCTTTCTGACATAATTTTTTTCAGAGCAAGGAGTTTTTTGAGAATGCATGAGGGTTATATGAGAGAACTTTTCTAAAACTCAGACATAATTTCAAAATAGTTATGCTGAATAATAGTTGATCTATAAGCTCCATCTTGGTTTACATTACTGAACGAAGTTCTGAAGCACTTCAGTGTACGCATACTACTAAAATTAGTGCAGATTAAAAAGTTAAAAAAAGGTTGTGATGCAGAGAAAACATAATGCACCTAGGCTTTTATTTGTGAATAATTAACTTCTACTAGAAATAAATAAAAAGTAGATTTTTGACAGTTAGGACATTCTATAAGTATATACTGTCAGTGAACTAATACAGTTTTTCTTTCACTGAAATACTTGCAGATTGGTTTGCACAATGTGAAATACTTGGTGCTAGATGAAGCAGACCGCATGCTTGATATGGGGTTTGGGTTAGATATGAAGAAGCTGATTTCTTATCCAAGCATGCCACCAAAAGACAAACGTCAAACACTAATGTTTAGTGCTACTTTTCCTGAAGAAGTTCAGAGGTAGGTAAAAACGGATATGTGTGTGTGTATATATATATGTGAAGATGTACTTGTATAGAGCTAAATGGCTGAAGAGTTAAGAGCATTCCTTATGTTTAAAAGCTTATATTCTAGAAGATAGTGAAAAACTAGGATATGAACGTTCCTTGCTGAAGACTTTCCTTTTTTTTTTCAGCAACAGAACTCCTAGTAATTTGCATAGATAAACTGCTTAATTTAGGTGGGGACTCCAAAGCAACTTAGGAAGTTTATCTAAGACTTTTAAATTCCTCTTCTGTGGAAGTCCTCATACTGCCTCTGTTTATTTCTTGTCCCTCTTCCACCAGATCTGTGCAAGCTCAAAACCAGTGATCTAGCTGTTTCACGAGCAGCACTGGTAGTGCTGTGTTTGGGACCAGGACATAATATAACCAGACATCCCAATTACTGCTCAAGTCACCAGCCTTTCTGATATACAATTCTTATTTGCATGCTATTTGTTTTTCGGTAGTTTTAAAGCTTCCACAAATGGGTTTGTGGTGTATCTTACAGCTCTACTACTCACTACTCCTAAAGTTCCACTTTCCAGACTCTGAAAGAACAGTGTTCAACAGATAGTAGTGGGGTTGCTGAGCCTGGGAGTAACAGAACAAAACATCCCATTCCCTGTAGGTGAATGGAAATTATTCAGTATTTCCACTTTTGAAGAGAAATGCATCTGAATACTCACTTGTAAATCAGAGGAGTTTCCATTTCAGTTGGAGTAATTGACGTAATCTTGGTGGCTTTTGTGGTAGGGATGCTGTTGTGACAGTATCACTAAAAAATACCAGTAAGCATACTACCTTATTACAGTTTGAGAGCGTGTAAACGGATCATAGCATTGCGATGAAATATGTTTGTGTAGTGAGTCAAATCCTGACAACTGTCGTCGGGCCTTTCAGGCTTTTTGAAGATTGTCTTTCAAGTAGGGAGAAAACATCTTCAGTGGTTGGCTGTCCTGAATGAAAGAGGGGAATGGGCTGCTTTCTCCTATTCAGTCAGTTAATACTGACAGCTGTTGGGGAGATGAATTGCCTTTCTTTTAAGTAAAGTTAAATTCACTTTAAATTCAGTCTTAAGTTGCCTGTTGTGGCTTTGGTTCCTCAGTCAAGACTTTTTTCACAGAGTGTTTTGTATTCAGAGAAGGTCTTGTAGGAACTAACAGTGGCTTGTTTCTGCAGCAGTGGATCAAGTGTTTAAATGATATTGTACATAAGTGTGGTTCATGTTCATTCCATGTGTTTACTGTTTGTGCAAGAATGTGGTCTCACTTCGCACTGCATCCTGGGAAAAGATCAGTTGTGTCTCCCTTTAAGATGCATGGTGTGCTCTGATTGGCTTAGGTTTTGAGGTTGAGAGGACTCTTAATCCCTTGATCTCTAGATCTGTTGTCTTTATCAATGTCTTTTGGCTAATGCTCTTGCTATGTGTTTTTGCTTCACACTGAGGGATGAGTAAAGAGTACTGTAACTACCAGCATCTGAAAGGACAAGATCTCTTCAACTGTGCAAGATGTTTACTGTCTGCTTCTTTTTAATGAAAAAAAAAAACAACCCTAACACTCCAGATCTACCTTTCTAGTGTCAGTCTTGCAGGACTTGCAAGTGCTTGTGGAAGGCTTCAGAAACCTGAGTGCTTGGATCATGGTTTGGAAGTGAATAATAACATTCTTGTAACCTTTTGAAACTGGAATGCCTAAAGGTGATAATCTCATTTTAGAGAATGAAAACTCTTCTTGTCTGGAATCAGTGTCTTCCTGGATTTACTGCCTTTCTGATTCTGGAGTCAGGAAAGCTAATGTTTTCCCATGCTCTGCTATCAGAGTAACTTTGGACAGTATACTACTTTGGTAGTATAGGACAACATGCTTTCTTTGGTCCTGCTGGGTTCAGACTCTCCTGCACTTGTATTCAGTGACTGTAATCAGATTTAATTTTAACATACCATTTGGTTGTGTACCTGAATTTGGATCTCTGCTGTTACATAAACCTTTGGTCTGATCACCAAGGCTCTTCCTTTGTACATGAGCTGAGAGAACCATGCACTTCCTACCTGGCTGGTGAATTTCAGTTGAGCATTTGGGGCATCGTATTTTCCATTAAAAGGTCTTTTCTTTCTTGTCTCCTAACCTGGTTTTTGTTTCCTATTCTGTTTACAGAGATTTTAAACTTGTCCTTTACTTTTAATTTAGAACTATGTTTCTCAGATCTTAAACCAGTCAGATCTTAAGACCAAACACATTTAAGTCACTAGTAACTTGTTTATTTGCTATGAAAAACACCTTTTCAGTGGCAACTACACCTATAAATCAGGTAGGAGATTCAAGTCCTTAAGGCAATCCTTTAACATTTTAAAGACTTTCTTCTTTGTCAGAAATTTGTTGTAAAACTTGAGATTGTCTGTTTTCAGTTAACTTGTTGACCATCTGAATTTTACTGCAGTGGAAGCTGCTTTGTGTCACTGGGCACGAAGCACACTTCTGTATTGAGAAATGAATACAGTTCAGTAAAACTCTCAAGTTTTATGGGGCATTCCAAGGAATTGCATATTTTTGCAAGTTTGACTGCTCAGATAAGATTACCTATGTAAGGCATAACTGAAGGTCTGTGCAAAACTTGACTTTTGCCTATGACAACTGATAAATAAATGCCATATAATTGCACGCGTGTTTTTAAGCTGTGGTTTTGTTGAACAGTCAAAAAGGATGATGGTGGCTCTTGGAAGCCTGTTTTGAATTCTGTCCTGTGTGGGATTCTTCCCTGTCCCTCCAGCTCGTGATGAAATAGTGCCCCATGAACAGTTCTGTGAGCGTACATCTCAGTAACCCATTTTATTACAAGCATATATGTGTAACTCTTTCTGAGATGGGTAGACAATGCAGTGTTTGTATTATGAAAAGCTGCAGGGATATAATAATTCTGTGCATCTTCTTACTGATCAGGGGGTTTTGTACAGTATTTGTTGTGATGGTTGCTTACACATAAATGAAGTCACTTGATCTTAAAGCAAAAATAAGCTACCAAATAGACTTAATGTTACTCAATTTTGTTTGTTTTGAAGGCTGGCTGGCGAATTTTTGAAAACTCATTATTTATTTGTTGTTGTTGGACATGTGGGTGGAGCTTGCAGTGATGTTCAGCAAAATATTCTTCAAGTTCCTCAGTATTCCAAGAGGGATAAACTGATAGAAATTCTACAAAGCATAGGTAACTTTCCTTATTGCTAATTGTTTCCCAGGGTATACAAAATTTCTTGTTTTTAAACTTGTGCTCTTACTATTGACCAGGTCATGATTCCGTTCTATTTTGTGTGTTACATGCTTTACAAGACTATTGATTGAAACTTGACGCAGACCTTGGAGTTCTGTGTTTTCAGGCATATCTGTGTTAGAGGTATTTGTCAAGGTCTCATCTCTGTTGAGTACTAGCAGACAAGCTTCACAGATGTTGAGGTTTTTTAATAGGGTCAATTACAATACTTTAGCATCTGGGGGTATTATCTGCAGATTGCAGGTGTCAAACTTCTTATGGGATCATTTGGGCCTGTATTTTGTTAATGGCTGGGATTCTTCCATTTTTTTTGTCTGGAAGAAGTTTGGAATTAAAAAATGGCCTGTGTACCTTGCTGTTCAGTGCTCAGAATGGTGTGCCACTTTTAGCCACATGCTGTAGAAAGGGAGTGCATACCTATCAGAGAACAACATTCGTTTCTTCCTTTTATTGAGGAGAAAAGTACAGTGCATTTGTCTTCACCTGGGTTTCTGTGTTGATCTAGAAATTGATGGATTGAATTTAGCTAGTTCAACACAGGCAAGAAATTACAGTCATACCTTTAAAGACTTTATTCCAAATCTGTTCTTATTTATTTGTTTATATCAGTAACTGCAACTGTGAATAGTGAAAATGTATCAAGTTTCCAACTGCATTGGATCTGAACTCTTTTTTAACATAGGTCATGAACGAACCATGGTGTTTGTGGACAAAAAGAAAAAAGCAGACTACATTGCAGCCTTTCTTTGTCAAGAAAAAATATCAGCCACTAGCATCCATGGGTAAGTATCATTTTGAAGTGAAAGTCAGGTAATATTAAGTGGAAGTCACTTAATACTGTATCTTACGAGAAGCTTTTATTGAGATTTCATGTTTGGCCATATCTTTTTGACTTATCTTGCCTTGTTTCAGATAGCCCTGTAATCCTCAGCAGCTCTGCCCCATTGAGAGTGTAGTGTTTCTGAAGGCCAGTTCTCACAGCATTTGCTGAGTATACAACTCTCTGGTTGACCACACTTGAAACGCTCTATATGAACTGGAGAATCTTATGTTTACTGCTTTAAAAAAAAATAAAAGTAATTCAGTAGAATCAGCTGTTGTTTATATGCAGTTTTTGTCATCATTTGTGCGATCAAAACCAGACCTTTTGGTGTTAATGGTGAGATAATGTTCATAAATTCAAGTGGCAGTTGTGGACCTTCTACTTTGTCTTACAGGCTTCCTCAAAGTGACGAGCTAAGTTGACTCATGTACCATACAGATTTGTGATGTCATTTCTGCTGCCTTGATGTGTTCAGGGACATAGCATTTACATGGAGAATTTGTGTTTGTAGTCTACTCATTACTGTTGCGTATTTGAAAAATTCTAGGAACAAGGAGAAATAGCTGCTAATTCCAGGTTTAAAGCCATCTAAAAGATGGTCTGTCTTTCACATAACGAGCTGGAATGTAGTTCTGTGGTGTTTGTTAGAATGCCAAAATGTAGGACAACAAACTAAATCTTAAGATTCCCAGTGAACTGAAGCACAACAAAAATGTAATTTTGAAATATTTTTCGTCTTGTAACAGGAGGAAGGGACTTGAATTCTTGCCTATTAAAGGGTCTTTTGGACAGTGTTCTGACAGATGTCAGAATATCAAGGTTGTAGGTGGGTTAAAATGGTCTTAGTACACAGAGAGAAGATACTTGTGTATATCCTGTGCCCTGTCAGTTTTACAGGTGTGTGAATGGCCATTTTGAGAAGACCTGGCCTTCTCTTCTTGGCTAACCTGAATTGCTATCCCACATTGTCTTGCGTGGGAGGAGGTTCTTGACATTATTTCTGTGAATTAAGGTATACTTACAAAGAGAATAACTGGGTCCATGGAAGCTGCTGAACTGTCATGAATGTTAGTGATTTCTGATTCACTTAAGTTTTTCAAGTTGAAGTTAGTTAAGATAGTTGCTCTTCTGTGGAATAGTGGTCATACCAGATTTCACTAAATGTCCCATGTTAGATTCAAGAGAGCACTGTTCTGAGCTTTCTAATTGGTTCTCTAATTTGGACAACAAAGAACAGCAGTTAAACTCTGAGCTACTGGATAACCTGTAAATATTCTTTAAAAATGCAAACTGCAGAGCAAATCTACTTTTCTTCTCATGATGATAAAAAAAAAAAGGCAAGTTCTATACTGTTGGCTGGCCATACTTTTTAGTATATCTGAAAAATGGCCTGTGCAGGAGTCCACCTAGACTTCATCTTTACTCTTCTGGCTCCTTGCTACAAAGCGGTAAGAAAAGCACTTCTAACTGTCATGAAGAAATAGTTAAACAAGTGGATCTTCTTAGGGAGGCAGTGAGTTCAATACATGATTATCTCTGGTTCTTTAAAAAAAAAAACCAAAACACTAGTTTCTCTAGAGCCTTAGGTTAAAATAGTTGCTGTGTCTTACTCTTAATCAGTTAAAAATTCGTGAAACCTAAACTGATAGTGTGTGGGTTGTTGGTTTTGATTTGTTTTCCCCACCCCCCTCCCCGAGTACTATTTCTGTCCATGAATCATGACCTTTTAACTTGTATCTTAAATAATACTGCAGATGTTTCAAGATACCCATTTTAACCATTGCTTTCTTTGTAGAGATAGAGAACAGAGAGAGAGAGAAGTAGCTCTTCAGGATTTTCGTTCTGGAAAATGTCCAGTTCTTGTGGCAACTTCAGTGGCAGCACGAGGTCTGGATATTGAAAATGTTCAACATGTTATTAATTTTGATCTGCCTTCCACCATTGAAGAGTATGTACACCGAATTGGACGAACTGGTCGTTGTGGAAATACAGGCAAAGCAGTTTGCTTCTTTGATAACAGTACAGATGGCCATCTTGCACAATCTCTAGTTAAAGTGCTTTCAGATGTAAGTTTCAAATCTTAGTACTTAACTTTTTCTGTTCTTTAGGATTTCATTTTACTGCACTGATATGCTGGTTTTGGCTGGGATAGAGTTATTTTTTTTCATAGTAGCTCATATGGGGCTGTGTTTTGGATTTGTGCTGGAAACAGTGTTCATAATGCAGAGATGTCTTTGTTACTGCTGAGCAGTGCTTACACGCTTTTCTGTGTGTAAGGCTTTTTCTGTTTCTCACACCACCCCACCAGTGAATTGATTCTCTTTCCCGTCCCACTGGGAGGGGGGGGCGGGGAGTGAGTGAGCAGCTGCGAGGAGCTTAGTTGCCAGCTGGGGTTAAATCATGACATCTGAGCAACTATTACTTTTTTGATAGAGTTATGGAACTCTTAATATGAATTGATAAAGCAGTCAAAGTCTCTAAATTCATTTTTCTAATTATGTAGGCCCAGCAGGAAGTTCCTGTTTGGTTGGAGGAAATTGCTTTTGGTTTGCAAGGAGAAGGAGTCTTTACATCAGTTAATACCCAAAAGGTAAGCTTGGAAATTAACTGTAAGTCTTGGCCTTCAGAACTTTGTCACAGTATAAAAGTGTGTCTAGCAATATGCATCCAGAGCAATGCCGCTGAAACTGTGTTGACTGTCACTGTGTCCTGAATCTTAGTTGTGCATCTTCAAAGTGCTCAGTATTTCTGAAACTAATTTTGGACAGCGTGGTTGACTTGGACTCTTACAGTGTGGCCTTACTAGCTGCATTAGTCGATTAGTGTCAAGAACTACTCTGCGGAAGAACAGGTGTATGCAGACATATGCAAAGGATATAGTTTCTACTGCACATGTAGGGTAGGAGCAAATAGTTTCTAGTTACACAGCCACTGCTTGGTATGAATTGCTCAGTCAAGTAACTCATTTGACTAAACTTCAACTAATTACAGCTAGATAAATGCCCCAATCTGATTCATGTCAAAATTGTTCTTAATGTCTGTGATGAGGAGGAGCCTTCTGGTCTCTTAGTGTTGCTGATACCAGATGTTAAAATACAGCTTGAGTAAATGAAGCGGCATAGGTGGTATAGCTCTCAAATTACTCTGCAGTCACTAGTATAGGATTTAAATTCTATGCCTACTCCTGCTTTGAATGGTTTTGTTGTTTGGGTTTTTTTTTTTTTTCAGCTGATGTTTAATACTTCTTGCTTTTATCTACTTGGATTTTAATGGCCTTCGTCAGAAGCCTTTCTTTGATCTTTTGCTTCTGTAAGAACTTAATCACATCTCAGTTGGATTCCACATGTTAATGCTGTCTTAGACACCACAAGAGAAATAATTATTCTGACTCCTTACACAATGTCTGAAGCTCGATTTCAAGCTCAGACCTTCCTTTAATTAATTATTTTTTTCCATATCATAATTAGTGAAAGTGTTGGGTGTTTTGGGTGTATTTACCTGCCTGACCAGTTCGCTAATCAGATCTGAATCTTTTCTGTTTGGGTCTTCATGGGATCTCAGGTACTTAAACTGCTTCCTTCTCGTGCTTGTAGCCTCAGTGGATCTTTCTTCTGTATGCTTGTTCAAGGACACACTTTTAATTTGTATAGGTTGCTTTTAAAGTGGATCTTGTGAACCATCGAGTCTAGATTGCTTCCAAATACACATCTGCAACCTTTGTGGAGTGTCTCCAAGCATTTAGTGATATCTGTCATTTCTATGTCCAAGTCTGTCTTTCATGTCCTTTATGACCTCTGAGTTAACAAATACAACTGTGACTCTTTGTCCACATACTTGTGAATAGAGTAGTTTCAGGAAAAATCTTGTCTGTTTGCCTTGGGAGCACTGCCCTATTAATCACATAGATGCAGTGCACCAACTCTTGAATTGGAGATACCAGATTCTAATTCCTTTCTTATGAGATCTTCTGATGCCAGTGATTCTGATAGAAACTGAGCATTTGTAATCATCCCTCTTTTTTTCTTTGAAATTCACTATTAAAACTGTTTTTTGCTGTCTTACTATTACTGAAAGAGAGGGTTATATCATCTAGTGTTCAATAAGGATCCTGGTGCCCTTTCTCCTGGGGAAGAAAGGTAACATCTTACTTGTGTAAGTAAATATTTTACAATATTTACTTTCCCTTTCAAAAGGAATATATGAAAGGGCCATTTGATAATCAGATGCTGACTTTGAAAGAGGAATCTGTTGGAGGCTCTTAACTGATTATTTTGGGACAATCTTACAGGTAACTGGGCTTCATCCTTTTTCCAAAGGAAAAGGATTTTGCTGGCAAAGTAATGCAGATAGCCATTCTTAAATAAAAAATGGAGAAGGAAGTTTTTCCCCAAAGTTATGTGAACTGATTTGTGTTGACTAAGAGAAGAAGCTGGGATTTGAACTTTGGGAAGGATTATTCCCACACCTGATAAAATCTGAGGTTGATTAGAGTGCATTAATTTCAGACTAGGGTCTAAAAACCTTATGTATAGACGTGTAATGATGAAAGAGCTTCTGTATTTATTTAAAAAACATGATGTTCAAGTTACATTGAGACATGCATGCTGAAAGTTAAAATTGTTTTGTAGTGACTTTTACAGTTAAATGTTTGAAAGTGTTAATGATTCTAAACTAGTACCTGTTCTGTTTCCTAGAACTATGGAGGCAGAGGCAACATGAACCCGGGAGGATTGAAGATGTCGTATTCTGCAAATGCATTTGAGTCATGGGATTAAAACTACTTTAGTACCAAACTAAATTTTATTCTGTTGTGTTTTAAGTGAACTGTTGCCTTTAATGTTCCTTACTGTTGAGCTTATGGAACATTTAATGTTTGAGTAGCTCCTATCATATGCTAAAGCTTGCAGCAATGTATATGTACTCTGTTGTGATGAACACAGTGATAATTATCACAATGTAGGAAGACAAAAAATCTTTTAGGAAACACTTTGAGTATTAAGTGTTAAAACTTTTGGTGTTTGATGCTTGGTAACTAGTATGCTGCTGTAAAAAGATGGGGGCATTGCAATTAGAAAATAGTAGATCCGTTGAGCTACTTTGTTACCAAAATTTTGCATGGGAACATAGTCTTATGAGGACCTAGTTTGGGAAAGAGCTTTATGTAAAGGGCTCATCTAAACTTAGTATTTGTTCCTTTTTGTAACAAGTTAGTTATAAAATTCGAACCTAGTGATGAGATGACTTAAGGATCTGTTAAAACATCTTGTAAACAGTTATTTAATAAAAGCTTGAAGAGTGCATATTGATGGTTGTTTCTACATCAGATATACAAAAAAAGCGTATGTCATTGCAGTTTCTTCAACTGGTGGTATTTTGATATGCATGGAAAATATGCATCGCCATATGGAACTAAGTGTTAGTGACTACATCCACTACTTAGTTGAAATACATGTTTTTACAGAGCTATCTTTAGAGAAGGATGGAGCCCTGTGTTGCTTCTAGTATAATGTTTTTGCCTTTGACAGACATAAGTACTCTTCTGTTACCTCTTGTGGAAAAATTCACTTTAGAACAAGCTCGGTGGCTCAGGTACAGAAGAGTTTCCCAGACCTGTGGAAGCTATGGAGGGTGAGCAGCCATTAACAGTTCAAGGAGATTTCCTTAAAGTTGCCTCAAAGAAATTGTGGTGGTGGTGGGGTTATATTTTTTTACCAGTGCAGTGTGCTACAAAGATGCATATCCTTGTGTTCTAAAGGAAAATGGCAAAGTACTTGTAATCTTCATTTGTAATGTCTTGCACTGCTGAACAAGCTTACAAGCTTCTCTCATGTTCTCTGGTATTTATTGATAATATACTGAGCACTATTTCTTATACAGTCTTCCCACTTAAAACATGGAAATAATACTTTTAAGCTCTGCTTACGGGACTGCAGGTTTAATGCCCAAGGACTTGGGCAGTACTATGGAATCTGTTATTGTGGAAAAGCAGGCTGTTGTTCTTTATATTTTGTATGAATATATTTTCAAAAGTATCTGTTGAAATACCTATTTACAGAAATACTGTTATTTTTGTAGACTATATTTTGTATTTATGTAGTTTTACTGCTACGTAATGTGCAAAAAAGTAAGTCTTAATTGTGTACTTGGAAGTGTGCTGAAGGGATAGTATAATTAAATTGCAACTCATAAGCAGTGGATGTATTTAAGCTTGAAGTCTGTAATTCAGAGTACAGTACCCTGAGCAGCATGACTCCTTTTCGTGACAAGTCTCTTTAGGGATTTTTGCATCCGTTATGAATTTCAGGTAAGAAATTAAGAGTGTTTGTGATTGCTGTCCACAACAAATGCAAGTGAACTACAATTTTTGGAGGAGGCTGTACAGTTGATGAAACCTTCCATTTCTGTGAAAAGAAACCAAAGGAAATAGTCATGGGCGACTTGTAACCTAGAATAAACCTGTGAAGGGAACTCAGCTTAGCCTTGTTTAAAGGACCCCTTATGTCACTTAGATTTTTACTTTGCCTCCCATTTTATCCCTTTTGAGTTGGGGGGGGAGGGCAGCAGAGAGAGTTCTTTAACTGTCGAAAGAGCTGTTCTGGTCCTATTGTTCTTTATCACTTGCACTAAAAGATAAGAAAAAAAATGGTGCTGTTCTAGCTTAGAGCTACTGTTACCGTAGTACTATGTCATATTTTGCTGCTGGGAACTGTAAGTGCTCAAGTTGGTCAGCATCTTCCTTTAGAAGTACTGCATGAAAAAACTAAGCATAGTGAAATTTAATCTTTAGAGGAGTTGAAGGTACAGCTTGTCATACCTGACTAAAGGTCATAACAGGGTGGGTGGAAGTTAAAGCTGCAGCAATCTCAGGCTTCCATTTTATTTGTAGCTTGGAAAGCAAAGATTCAAATAGCTTTTTAGTACCTATTACCTTATAAAATACAACATCTCAAATTACTCCTATAAGAATTAAGAGCATGTGTATACAGGAGGTTTATCAGAATTTATGGGCTTTCCTTAAATATTTTGAGAAAAGAGTATTCATCTTTGTGTAATTTGGGGTGGGTGGAAAGAGGGTTGATAATCTGATTTTCTGAATAAACCTTTATCTAGTTAAAGGTAAAACTGGAAAGTGAGTATGTGCACACACTTGCAGTATCTTTTCAACGCACGTTTGATTTACTGTTTCACTACTCTGTTCCTTGTAGATACTTTTTGCATCTTGTCTCTGCGTGCACGGGACTTGCTTGATTTATTTCCTCATGTTTCCAGGTAGAAAGAGTTTGCACAGAACTTCTGCTTGAACTTGTCTGCATGAGGTCCTGAAGTTATGGTATATCTCTGTTTTGCAAGATAGTGGCATTATGCACTGAACCACATTCTTTATTTTTCTTCTACTTCAGCTAGGTGTAAATGTGCTATAGGGTATGGAATTTATCAAAAATATTAACTAAAATATTTCAGACAAAAAACCAGTGACGTGACCAATGTCACAATGGGCAGTGCATTAAATAGCGCATGCATAAATCTGGAACCCATGGTAAAATCTCTCTGGAATATTTGGTGGCATGACGTTTGCAAACAATTGGCTTGAAGTTCCGTTTTACAACAGTCCCTAAATAACCTTAGAACATAGTACTCTTCAACACACACCATATCAGTCTGAGCAAAGGCAGACTTTTTTTATATTTTCTTTACATGGAAATGTTTATTTCTTACCTGTGCATTCTACAACTTCAGTCTGGTTTTTTCCGCATGTTCAGAACTGCGCCTTTCCTAAGGGAATAAAACTGGCCATCTCTTTCATTTAAATGAAAAGGTGATAGGAGTTCCCACAAGCAGATGTTTTAATACTGTTAACTGTTTTCCAGCTACATCATGAAACTATAAAAACCAACCCAACAAAAAAACCCACCACAAACTCACAACCCAAAAAAACCTGTCCCTAGAGTGGTCATGAGGTAATTTTAAGAGGAAAACAAGTCAGGTTTACAATTTCTCACCCTCTCAGAAAATGCTGAAGTCTGATGTCAGATAATTTTGTCTCATCAGAAGTGCAGAATGACCATTAAAAAGGGAGTGAGGGAGACTTAGGATTAAGGAAAATGGAAAACCTCAAGAATGTTTGCAGAAACTACAGTTCCTTCTTGAATATTCACTTTTGGTTTAAGCCTCTTGTGACTGACTCTTCAAATGTGTATTTAATCTGCAGGAATATAATTCAATTTTAGCTGGAGGAAAATACTGGCAAACAAAGGAAGCTGGGGTGGGGAATGAACTGCACTGCCAGCTGCCTCTGTTACTTTTATTCCTGCACTCAGGTAATTTTATATTTGTATGGAGAACGTGTTGAAAGTCTTACTGGGAAATACTGTGTTCATACCTTCTTCACTCAACAGTTCCGTTGTCCTCCAGGTGGCAGTCAAGATAAGTGTTCGTTAAAGATTTCACTGAACTGATTGAAACCTGAAATACATGTGCTTGTAATTCCTTCTAGATGCTTCTGCCTACAGTTGTACTAACCTCATGGGATTGAATGTTTGTATGTACCTCCATGTTTATATTAAAAACACTGTATTGGTGCATAGTTCAAGATTAAGCTGGGGTTTTTTGACAAGTTAGTGTTGTCAAATGCCATCAAGCCTTTTTTTCTTCAACAATACTTTGAAAGCTGCATTTTCTTTCTTCTGTCACGTTGCAATAGTCACTTAATACAGTGCCTGAAATGCGCAACAGGAACACACGAGTTGTTTTTAATATCCTTTTTCTGTGACTTGGACCAAATGATAAAAATCTACGGCTTTGGGTTCCATCTCTTAAATTTCCACCTCAGCTATGTTAGAGTCCTGTACTGATTAAAAAAAAAAACAACCTTGATTTTTTTCTTTTCACAGTTACCTGGGCTGTACTGTGATACAACATGGGTAGGTACGAAACTCATTGGTGTACAGCTGTGGTTGCAGATAGTACCATGCTTCTGTTTGAATGTTCTGTCACTACCCTGTAATTAAACTGCAGTCATTCAAGTACTCTGTAAGCTGGATACAGGTTTACAAACAATGTCACTCAAGCGTGGTATCTTAAAAGTAAGTAGGCACAATTAATTTATAAATAATGATCGTGACTCAAAATACTGTGAGGCGATTAAGCTCTTACGAATAAAATTTACTGGTGTAGTAGTACAGAGGATGGCTAAGAAAATGCACAAAAATTAGTCATGAGTAAAAATGAAAGGGAAATTCATAGATTCATAGATTTGTAGGGGTTGGAAGGGACCTCTGGA